AGATATATAGACAGTTAAATACTTATTTTGTGGTATGGAAAGTCAAAAGTTTTCAATCTAACTGCATACTATCTAGTAATGCTAAAATTTTTTCAACACAAATTTTATAAGAAAAAATTTACTAAAGGCTTTGAGGCACGCAGGCAATTTTGGAAACTACTGATAAGGAAAGTTGTTAAATATCTACTATATATATGTAGTATGTATATAGAAATACGGATAATATTAGCTTAAAGAAGTACTAACACAAATAGAAGCACATATTAAGAAAGTAAAAAAAAACAACAACAAAAAAATGTCTAAGCAAAAAATAAAAATTAACCACATACAACTGTTCTGCTAGATTTAAAAATGCAGCCTTATTATTGGTTTTCACAGCTGCGAACTTTTGTTCTGTACTCGTCTATACAAAATGCACAGAAAATCTTTGCTTTATATTTTAGTGTTTTCTGTCAATTTATTCTTTTTGTACTTGAATCCCCATAAAGCTCCGTATTTTTAGGAAAGATCCTTTTTAAAATGGAATAAAGCTTTCATTTTTCTAACTTACAAAGTTTTTAACATTCTAAGAGACAAATAAAATACTACTGAAATGGTAAGAAACTAAGAAAAAAAGAAAAATTAAAAATGATTTAAACATAACTTTGTGTTCCAAGTACTTGAAAAGTAAAACAAAAAAGTTTTCCGCACAAATGCAGCATTCATTTGGTCCTTAAGTATTTGTTTCTGCTTCAAAACAAATAATAAAATTAATTTCTAATTAAACATTCATTATTAACTCGCTTTGGCAGTGTATCAAATACTTAAAGCTTTCAGCTGCTATCAAAAAGCTTACTGACAAGTTTTAACCATTTTGTTTTGTTTTATAATTTTACTTTAAAAAAAAAAGTATAGTTTATTCTTTAACAAAAACTGTGTAAATCCAAGTTTCAAACTTTGTGCAATATTAAAAAAAAATTTAACAGATTTTCATAAAAATTTCAAGTTTACTAATTTGATTTCGAAGAATGATTTGGAGATTCATTTTTTTAGCTCATTCAATTTTAGTATAAAAAAGTCCAAGTTTGAAGTAGCTTCGATTTACCGTTACTTACATAAAAAAGTATGCTCGAAATTTCATTTGTTAGCAAAAAAAAAAATTATTAAAAATCAACGCGAATTTCTTGTCGATATATCAAGCCCCCCTAACCGCCAAAATAACGTAAGCGACATTTTTTTCAAAATTTTCT